TAGCAGACATAACAGTAATCGAAACATTAATAAAGGATGCTGAACTTCCTGAAATACCATTTGACACAGGTGATGCCAAAATAGTGTGGACTAAAGATTGGGTATACGGGAAGACACCAACCCCGGGACAGCAGGCACCTCGGAATTCACCTCCCCAGATAATTCTATTGGGTCAGGCACATCATCCACACAACAAAAGGAAGCCTTTAAATTAGTATCACAATGCATAACTCAAACCATGGGAGAAGAATGAGAAGGGTCCAAAGGAGAAGCCAAAAAACCTCAAAGGCGCCTCACTCCCCACCACCAGGCTACCATCTTGATAGGGACAGATGGGGAAGGGGCCAAATTATCAACAACCGGACCCTCGGAGGCCAAAACAAGAGGACAAGCATGACGGGTGCACAGCAAGCGAGGAAATTTCCTCCTCCGAAATCAAAAACGCCGGCTAACCCCGGTGAGAAGAAATACACAAATCAGGAAAAGGAACCGAAGTCGAAGAAGCCCCAGACAATGCTTCTTTAAACGAAAGAGCCAGAGAAACTCCATTCAAAAATCCCGAGTCACGATGCTGGGCAGACGCCATTAAAGCCGAAAAAGGAAAACCAAAACACACACAAAACCAAGAGACTAGAGAAGAGAAGCTTCCCTGTGGCAAAACCGACGGTTGAGACCATCCACGCAACGAACGCCGAAGCAGGGGAAAAACCCTAGGAGAGCGAACATTCTAATTTAGCTCCAGGCTTGCACATAACTCCTATAGCTTGCACATTAAAATATATATCTCTCTACCGCCGCGAATATTAGAGTCCGCAACCATGATAAATTTGATAGTTATTGAATCTAAGTGATTTATATATGACTAATTAATTAAAATCTCTATTATTCTAAATTTAAAATACTATGATAATCATAAAAAATAACTTGAATTATTTTTCATCATATTATTTTAATTAAAAAATTTTCCTAAGCACATCTTGCTGCAAATAGATCAAAAGAAAATCTTGTTGAGGAAGTTCAGACACTGAAAGCGAAAATTTTATGTCAAGGTTTTCTGATATAAATTTGGTCATGATGGGCTTTAATATCATTTTATTTGCTTGAAGATTAGGGTTATGTAGAAATAATTCATGTTGCATTAATCTGAAAGTTAAGGCTTCATTTAAGACAACTTTCATACTATTTTTTAAAACAATTTTTTAGTAGAGAAAATTTTCTGAGCTATAAATTTTTTAGTACTAGAAAACTGCTTTAAAAATAATAAAGAAGTTGTCCCAAATGAAGCCTAAATTCATCGAGCAGAGAGAGAGAATTTTCAAATTAATTTTAATACAAGATTCAAGTATTATCCTCTATTTTTTCTCATATGAGTTGAATCTCTAGTTGGAACAAATCTCTCTCTATCTCTCTGAAGAGAAATTTAGAATACAATTTATTTAATAAAATAATTATGAAACTTAAGCTTCTTTTGAGATGGCTTTCTCGATGCTTTCTATAACTATTTTTTAGTATAAAAATTTCTATTTCAAACAATTTTTGTACTAAAAAGTTGCTTTAGAAAGTACTATAAATGTTGTCTCAAATTAAGTCATAATTATTTAATCATATTTAAATTGACCTAAATACTAATTTAATAAAGAATAAAATAAGTTTGTTGATTGAAGATTTTGTAACATATCTCTATCGTTGAGCAAATATGGACAACCTATTCATAGTTTATATAAATAAAAGGGCAAAACTTCATCAAACCAACTTATCATGGAGCAAAAAAAAAAAAAAAAGTCTACATAGGTTTTGATGGCATCTTTTTATAATCTTCTTTAGACAAAAACCCCTCAAAAATATTGATGACAGAGACAAATCAACAAAATACATTGGCCAATCACTTGCAAATTGATATCAACATCACATAACCTCATAATGCAGCCTTTTTCATAAGCATAATAAATAACAATATTGTTTAGTAGTCATAAATATTTGAACATGACATTTGTTTTATTTTAATCTAATAAAAATTCAAAATAAATAAATAATAATAATAACTGTTGCATGCCGGATTAACATTCACTGTTGTTGAGAGATAAAAGCTTAACATCTTAACTTTGAACGAATATCTTACATACAAACAAATAAAAGAGAGGGGTGCAAAAATTAAATGAGACGTCATAATGTTTACTTGAAAAATCTAAAAAGGGGGAAAAAAAAAACATTGGGTTGAAGGACCCTAGTCGACTAGCGACGGAGGTCAGAAGGACTGTAGTCGAGCGATGGTGGTCTGAAAAGGTAGTCAACTGGAGACCGATGTTAGAAGGACCATAATCAGCTTGCGACAGAGGTCACAGAAGGATTATAGTCGGCAGACGACAGAGGTCAAAGGGACCGCTGTTAGATGACAAAAGTTAGAGGTATCGTAGTTTGGTGTAAGTGGTCTAAGGATAACATTTGGTGGACAACAGAGGTCGAGGGGATCATAGTGGGGTGACCAAAGTCGCAATGACCATAGTCGACGGGCGACAGATGTCGGAGGGACCATAGTTGGGCGATGTAGGTCAGAAAGATTGTAGTAGAGCGAAGGAGGTCAGAAGGACCATAGTTGTGCGATAGGGCTCATGGGGATTCTAGTCGAGCAACAAATGTCAGAGGGACCATTGTTGGTGGGAGTTTTGATGAAAACTAAGTGAAAGTCCAATGGTGATGGCTGGGTTGGGAGGTTTTGTCGGTGATAGTGTTTTGGTGGAGCTCTGAGATTTTTTAAGCCTTAGAGTCTCTTGATCTCTAGCTCAAGATCAAAGCCTCCTCCAAAAGTCCAAGCCTCATCAAAAAGGTTTACCCTCATGTAGAGAGTGGTATATTTATAAATTTTAAGAGTTGCATGCTCCGTAAATATGGAGAAGATTCGGAGCAAATTCGAATTGCTCAATCGGACGGTCTATATTGATCCCCTGGATGATAGAGCGTTTGTCAAGCATTAAAGTGCGTTATTAATGTCAAAATTCAGTGATCTTGTGCTAGTTGGATTTGTTTCATCAAGCCGCTCGATTCAACTTTAAGCATGACATATTTAAATATCATTTAGTGACCCAATTAATATTTTAAAGCTTCCAATTATGCTTCAAGCTAATGATTTGAGCCCATTTGGGCTCAGATTGAACCAATTTCGGTGTCGTTGGGTTCGTTTTTCCGATATGTTCAATTTAGCTATAAGTTTGCTAAGATTAGACCTCAAATGACCCCAAATTTAATTTTGAAAGTTTTCAATTCAAATAAATCTTGTGATCATGATCAATACAATTTTTGGTGACATATCAACAACAACAACGATAATAATAATAATAATAGGCTAAAATTGCTTTTTAAAACTATATATTTGTTTCAATGATGAAAATCAAAGTAGGTTAAGTTAAAATCAAAGCTTGTTTTTTATTCAGTTCATTTCACATTGGTAAGGTGGCAAATGGGTTACTTGCCTAAATGCTAACACTACAACCAAGCTTCATTTAAATTATGTTGATATTATTATCATTAGAGACTTAGGTTTCAATTGGTATTATTTTCTCACTACTTTTAAAAATAAAATTTCACAATGAATTTTTTAATTTAAGAAACTTTTATACTAAAAAATTATTTTAAAAAATAAAAATAAAAAAATTATCTTTTATGCTTTTTTTTTTAAATTTTTTTGCTTTTTAAATATCCTTTATAAGCCACAGTTTTAAATAATGTTTTTTTACCAAAAAAGAGTTTTAGAGGCAAAAATTTGAAATAGCGATGAAAAAGCTATCTTGGGACTATTCAGGATAATTTTTTTGTTGCTTTGCTTTTTAAATAGTGATCACAATTTTATTTGAAGTTAAAAATTTCTATAATAAAATGTTATTTACTTAACTTTAGTAGCATAATTATGTTGTGCGCAGCAACTTCACAGTCAATTTTATAAAACTTTCAAGCCATAGACACTTAGGACCCGTTTAGGATTGTTTCAACTTTTTATAAGGTGATTGTAAAGTTGCTCTATAAAAAACAGTTTTTTTTAAGTTGTTGTAAAAGATAGATTCCTGATATTAAAATTTCTTTAAAACATTGAATAAGCAGTGATCAAACATAAATTATGTTTATTTCGAAAAACAAAAAAATAAAAGCTATCTCAAACAAAACCTTAATAATTAAATAAATTATTTCAGCTTTTTGCATCATATTTTATATTAAAGACAATATTATTTATCACAGTATAACTTTGGTAGGGAGCAAAATTATCAACAAGCTTTGACTAATATTATTTACTTTCTTTTGTTTTTGAACAAAAATCTTAAGTTTGAGACGAATTCGATGCCATGGGCCATGAGAGATTATTATGTGCAGTGTTTGAACGCCTCCGGAGGTTAATCCGAACACGCCACATCACCCAATACACAGTGCATTGGATGACGTGGCACGTCCAAATTGGCCTCTAAACGCGTTCGAACACCACACATAATAATTTTTCCAGACCCACAACCCATCACGCACAATCTTCTTCATTTTCATATTTTTAAAATATAGATAAAAAAATACTATAATATAATTTATTTTAATTAATCAAAATAATTCAAATATTTTAAAAAATTACATATAATTGCCAAGAGGAAATGTCAACTCCATACTAATTAAACAAAAAATATATGCATACATACAAATTTAATAAAAAAAATCATTGTTAAAAGCATTTAGTATCATGCTAAAGATGATTAAGTGCATTAAAATTATTTTTTCCTATTTTGTTAATATATATGCATACATACAAATTTAATAATCCCATGAAATTAAAACCCCTTGCAAATATATATATAGTTACAGAAGCCAAAAAATCCAATAAAAACCTAATAGAAGCTACATCATATATATCTATTAAAAGTAAAAATTATCCATGGCGAAGACCTGCTTGATCGATCTTTCCTATGCCATTTATAGAAAATATTCATAAAAATAAGGTAAGTTCCTATGCCATTTATAGAAAATATTCATAAAAATAAGGTAAGAAGTAATTATACGGAGAAAATTTCATGGAGATAATAACAAGCTAAAATCAGCAATCCATTCTTCAAAACTCAGAGTCAGCGGCACCGCCATGCCGATGTGGCAGACAGCTCCCTTCCCTTCCAGCTCAGTACCAAGGCTCCCTCCCTCCTAGCCACGTGGAACCCCTCCACCGGCGCCCGCCTCAGCAACCACTCCGCCTGGGACTCCGTGAACTCACTCAGCTCCGCCACCACCATCCCCGCCGAAGCCATCACTTCCCTCCAATCTCCCACCGCCGCTGCTGCCGCCGCCACCGCAGCGAAAATTCTGGGCCTGAACAGCGCCCTTTCGATTCTCCTCACGGCCTCCTCACCTGCCCCCGCGGCCGCCGCCCAAGCGTCCACGACCTCCATCGCAGCCGCGTAGTACTCCAATCCTCCGGCGAACCTCCGCCGGAATGATCCCACGCTGCCGCAGTACCCCTCCCCATCAACGACCAACACCACCCGTGCCGCAACCCGCCGCACGAACCGCAGGACGGAGACACCGATCAGCCGGAAGATGGTCGGCGTAAGAACGACCGCCACCGCCTCGCCGGGGGCCAGCCGGACTCCAGCGAGAGCGCTGAGACGGACGAATTCGACCGTTAATCGGAGACCGATCCCACGAGCGAAGTCGCGAAGATTGTCGGCGGCGAGGGCGGTCTCGGCGGTCTCTTCGGAGACGACGGCGGTGATTCGGAGAGGGGGAGGAGGGAGACGGGCGGCGCGGGAGCGGGCAGCGAGATCGTGTGCGAAGGAGGACCACTGGCCGCCAAGACCAAGGTCGAAGTCAATTAGGTGGAGGGAAGGGGCGGCGTCGACGGATTCGAGGAGGGTTTGGTTGGCGGTGAAAGAGGTAAATTGCGGGATGGGGGAGAGATCTGAGAAGGCTTTGTGAGCGGCGATGCGGAGGACGAGTTCGATGGCAGAGAGAGGGGGTTCCGGGATGGGGCGGTCGGCGATGGGGAGGAGGGAGAGTAGGGCGTCTTTGAAGTGGAAGGCGGCGCGGTGGAGAGGGGAGCCGGTGGAACAGGGGAGGATGAAATTGAGCCGAGCCAATATCGAAAGGGAGGAATTGAGGTCTCCGATCTCGACGGCGTGTGCGGCGCGGAGGAGGAGGTCAAGGTGGGAGCTTTCCGCCTCCGGCGGTGGTGGTGTAGGGTGGGAGAGGTCGGGGAAGAAGGAGCAGGGGTCGTCCATGTCTGCGAGGAGAAAGGAAAGGGGATCGGACCAGTCGTCGGAGGCGGATGAAGTGAGGGCCAGGGGGATGGAGGCGGAGTCCCAGGGAAGGGAAGGCGCTGGGCATGCACCGCCACTGGCCGGGGCGGCTGCTGCTGCGGCGGAAGGACTTGAAGTGATGTGAGGGTCAAGAACGGAGGTGGGTTCGTAGAGAGGGGAGGAGTCGATGGGTTTGGTTAGATGGTGAAGCGCTGCTTGTGAGTCGCCGCCGGTAGAGGATTTGGTGATCTTCATTGCAAAACGATACTTTTATGGAGAAGATTTGAAAATTGATGGAGAAGGGAAGGGGGAGAGTTATGAGGTGATGATGAGGAAATTTATATGGAGGATAATAGGGATGGATGGCCATGATGGATTGGGCTGATATGGATGGATGTGGAACAAAATATTATAGATTTCCTTTTAATTATTTGAGCTTGAGCTTCATTAAGAAGCCGTTTCAATTAGCTTTTTTTTTTGGGTGGGATACAAAGCATGTTGGCGTAGGAGAAGGAGAGTTTTATCTCGACGTCAATCAATGAGTCGGTCAATCTAAGGATCAGATAAATCTTTGTAAAGTTCAGAGGGAGAAAAAAAAAAAAGTTAAGTGATAAGAGAATCGTTCTTTTTATTCATTCAATTCAATATATTTCAAAATTTTAAAAATATAAATTGACTCATAGAAGAGACTTTTTTCATTGTTTCATTATCTTTTTTTTTGTTTCTTATTGTTAGATTTATTTTAGGGTTTTAGATGTTTACAGAGTGATAGAAAGAGACGGAGATTCTTTGAGAGTCGTATTTATGAGGTATACGTAAGTCTTAGACCTCATTTGGGACAACATCAATAGTGTTTTTTATGTTTTGAAATGCAAAGTAAATTTTATGCATGTATTTGAAAGGTGCAATTTTGCTAAAAGAAGTTACGAATAGATGCATTTTCAGTTAAATTTTCATAGCTATTCGACAACTACTCTTTCGGTGCTTTTTGTGATGTCATAGGATTTAATTTGAAAGAATTATTTTTTTAACTTTTAATAAATTAAATAATAATGATATGGCAAAAACGGTTTGTGATATGGAGTTATATTAACTCTAGAAAAAAATTATTTATCTCAGTCAAAATATAAGTTATTACACTTTTAGTGTTCAACAAATGCAAAAAATTATAAATACCTACATGAACATTATTACAAAGTTTAGATTCAGAAGATCAATGCTTGAAAAATCTTCTGGCATTAGTACAGAGAGAGAGAAAGAGAATTTATTTAAAGAAAAATTATGGAGAATGAGTTTCAATTCTCAATTTTAAAGATCACAATAAATTTATCAAGATTTTCTTAACAATTTGTTAAAAGCTTTAATAATTTAATTATATAACATGTTATAAGAGAATGGTTTCTTCGAAATCTCATTGTAAAATTAAGTTTATATGTTAATTTTATAAATAAACAAACTTTAAAACTTCTCCAAAATAAATTATGAAGTATTTTAGAATGACCAACAATTTTATGGATAGTTTTAGCGCTCTGTAACATCAAATTATTATATATTTATAAAAATAATGATCTAATATTTATCATCATCAATATATCATGAAAAATAAAAAATCCACAAACATTCAATTTCCTCTTAACCAAACAAATAGATGAAAACTAATCTTATCTCAATTTATTTATCATTTCATTTCCATTTCAGTTTCATTTCCTCTCTTTTAATTCATTCATACGAAACAGAGTCTTGAAATAAATGTTCTTCAACTCCTTTTTCGTGGTGAGACACATAAAGAAGATTTTGACCACAAAATCACATTTCTTATAACTTATATCTTAGAGAAGATATTAAAAATGTGTTAACTTGGGCGAATTATTACGCCCGGTCAGTCCGGTCCGGACACCAATCCAGACGCGCCACATCACTCTGATATATTCGGCCCTGGGTGTATTTGGGTGATGTGGCGCGTCTGGATTGGTGTCTGGAAAAATCCGAACACTGGACATAATAATTTTCCGTTAACTTGATTAGGGGTTTGAAATTTCTTTTCTTGGAATTATTGGCAATTCTTGCTACCACAATATCCCAAATTGTGTAAGAGGATGTTTGATTTTCTAAAAAATAATGAAAGCCGGGTAAAAAAAATTAAGCGTAAAATGAATACATGTGCATTTAAAATATTTTGAGTTATTTAGATGAGTATAAAATAAATACTTTTTTTGGTTTGATTTGAAGTAAAAATAAATGCTGTGTAAAGCGCAACAATAGTAGTAGCTGGTGACCAATGATGGTAATACACTAACAATGACAAAATATTCATAGTATATTTGATAATTGATTAAGGTTTTGCTTGGGATGACTTTCTTGCAACTTCTTAAAGCTGCTAGCTTTGTAGTATAATTTTTTTTAATTTTTAACTAGAACACTGCTTTTAGGAGCAATAAGAAAGACATTCTAAATGAAACTTAAATCTAATGATCTCTAAATAAATAACAATTGCATTAAAGAACGGTTTTCAAATACTTCAAAATTTTACTCCGCGTTTCCTATCAGCCCTTAATAAACATCACTATTAATTGGTAATTAGAATCATTGTAGGTTAAAATCACTCATTAAATGAATATGAACCTCAATATATGATTCAAGTTCAAATTTAACCCATTAAAAACCCTAAATTTTATCAATCCTAACATGTTAATGGAATAAACCTTCATCATTTTTTAAAAAAAATCTAAAGTCAACCATACTCCAATTAATTAATTAAAAATATTAAGCCATTATTCAAAATGTGAGCCAAAAGCAAACAATGGGACCATGCATTCCACTCAATAGGAGTACATGCATGAGTAGGTTGCATGTGATCCCTATCACCAACACTTAACAAATGGAATAATATTGGCTGGATCCTAAAGATTGATCAGTAGCTTAAATGAATCAAACAAGAGTTAAAAGCTAAACCACATATCCAAAGAATCATTTGTAAGGAGATTGAGACCTCCATCCTATCCTTTAAAAAGCTTGCTTTCTCTACTATTACATCTTTAGGGATTTTTGGGAATAGTTATAATTATCTATAAAATTTGTTATGCAATAATTATATGAAAAAGAGAATTATTAAAACTATTTTAATATTATTTTCTTTAAAAAAATAAAATTAGACATTATTTATTATAGTTATCATAATCTAGCATATTTGATTGTGAAAATTTATTTAAAAATGGGGATTTACATACATATCATTTGATATCATGATATTTATATATTTAACATCAAAAAATTTAATATTTCATGATTATCACCTATAGACAACTTTAATCTCAAATATATTGATCATATATTTCATTCTTACCACCCTATAAATTTTAATATTTGATTCCTTCCACCCATATTTGATCTATGGGTGGTCGATCAGCATGAAATATTAAAATTTTAGATGTTAGATATGTAAATAGTATGATATAAAGTAGTATGTATTTAAACCCCCATTTAAAAAATTGGCTGAAGTTATAATTAAACAGAAATACGTTCGATATATAGCGATATGTAAAATAAAATTATATATAAAAAAAAATGCTAATGCAACTTTAATTATGAACTTTTTCTTGTGAGTGGGTCTTCCTATTCAATCACTTTCAGTAAGGTGATGCATTTTAGAATCTAAAGAGTGTCACCTTTTTTGCATGGCAAGCTTCCTCTTTCTATCTTCTTCGAGTGCTCTGGAAGAACACTAATAACTAAAGTAGCAATGGAGACTGTGATGCATATATGTATTTTATTTGAATTTTATGACTTGTTGATTGTTAAAGGTATAAAGTAAGCTTTCATGTCTTAGTGAACATTTTTGATATGTTATTCTTGAATGATTGATCCATGTTTTGTGTCATGAAATTTGTGGCTCGGCCGGCCGCCAAAATGGAATAATGGTACGTACGTAATTAATCATGTGGACGTAAATTAATCGATAAAAAATTTGTTCAGTTTCTCTTTTTTTTCAGGAATTGAAATTAAGGCTTCATTTGGGATAGCTTTCTTATTGCTTTGTTTTTCAAATCTTAATCATAGTTTCTATTTTGCTACTGTTGCTATTAAGAAATTTTTGTGCTGAAAAGTTGCTTTTTACAACAACTTTAAAAAAAGTTAATTTCCCACAACAATTTTATAACAACTATCTTTACTAAAAATTGTAGCCATAAGAAATGAAGCCTAAGTTTGAACATAGTCAAATATTTAAAATTATGTTATAAAGTATTTTTAATTAATTTTTAATGAGTTTGAGCTACAATAAAATTAAGGTCCAACTAAGTGTATGATTGATGTTTATGATTTAAATAAATAACCTTATTAGTTGGCAAATATAAATGAATTTAGAAGTTTCAATCAAAATTTGCATAGTTTATTTATATTGTTTGACAAAATTTAAGTGTAGAGAAAAATATTGTAATACATATATAAATATTTATGTTATATCTTGCTAATAATATAAATAGTTTTAAAGTCCAAAAAATATAAAAAAATTGATGTCACGAATATAAATGAAGAAGTGGATTATTATTGAATCTTGTTTAATTATATATTAATATTTAAAATTTAAATTCAAATTTAATCAAAAATATAAACAAACAAACATAAGAGATCAATATATGAACAAATATATTGCTTGACCCGAATCGAACCTGACATTTAACCCTCAATTGTTTAACCAGATCCGAACCCAACACGTTTTTACAAACGGGCCAAAAATTTTAACTCGAACGAACCATCGTTGTCGTTGCTTCAAATCTAACTACAGATGAATCGAGAGTCGACGAGCCCATCTGTCGTACGTTAGGATATAGCTTGCATGATTCTTTAGAAATCATTGCATATATATATATATATATATATATATAATTTTCATTTATTATATCAAAATATCCTTCCCCATTGATGCTTCCTAGTGAAGGATAATAATCAGTTGGTATTGTACAGTATAATATGAGATCATTATACCCAACATATCGCATAAAAAATGCCAAGTAATCTCCTAGACATTTTATATGATAAATATATCCTCATGAATTACTAAATAACTCAATTAATATGACTACTAAGTCGCAGAGAACATTAAACTTTGTAATGAGCACATTCTAAGCATATTTCTTATATTTATCAGAATCATTTTTGTAAGGGAAGTTGCATTACCAAGTGACTATTTTCACCATCACTCCATAAATTTATAAAAGCTGTTTTTCACATAAAGGCCAGTGGTACCAAATGAAGATTTAGGTTTCATTTGGGATGAGTTTCTTTCTGCTTCTTAAAGCAGCTTTTTAATATAAAATTTTTAATTTTTTA